AAGTGGGTCAATGCGAAGCAGCTTCACTCTCGACTTCTTCATTGCGATTCGTGACTCGCGATTAGCGCCTTTCTAATCGTGGATGCTAGTGCAAGCTGTCTCTGTTCAGTTACGACAGTGACCGTACCATACAAAAGTCAAATGGCGGAAAGTGATGGTGCGACTGTGCGCGTGGCTGCCTGTACATGCAGTCCCACCTTTGGGACAACCTTTGCCCCGCGTTGATTGTTGCCGACTGCCGAGCTTCCGTGCTCTTACGCCCGCTTCATCCAGCAGCGCAGTCGAGGGCGCATGGCGCGCGCTGCGAGAGATCGCTTGGTCCTTCCGCGCGGATACAGTACTGCACCGCGAACATCCTAGCTGATCACGATGTCCAATCACCTCTCAGATCGTGCTGCTTGAAGCATCACACCCATGCTGAACTGGGCCTAACAACAATTTGATTGAATGGCAAGATCAGGAGCGGAGATGCGTGGAGCATGCTAGGTAGTCGTGGGAGACAGAGGAGACTAAAGCTGCCTTCAAAAGGCCGGCCCGTCAAAGGAGTCTCACAATACAATGAGACGATAGCGCCGCCCCTACTTCAAGAAAGTGGCTGGAAAACGGAATGTAGCGCCATATAAAATGGAGCCGCAACGCTGCCGGTTGAGGAACCGCCTGGATGAGCAATAGCCTGTGCGGATGATCGCGTTTCTACTTGACAAAGGTGCGGCAATCTTCACCGAGGCCAGAAGCGCTCAGCCAATTGGCAGCGAACGAGAAGGTCTCTACGTTCTCAAAGACCTTGCGGGTGCCCCACACCGGCTCGTAGACTAGAGGTGCGGGTCGTATTGGATACGTCAAGCGTCAGTTGTCAGTCGGGTCGCCGACTGAGCATGCACTACTCACTGTTGACGGTAGAGCGAGCAAAGAATGCTTGCTCGAAAGGCTGCGGCCACAAGCAAGGGATCATCAGCACTTCGTTCTCGCAGCTTGCTACTCTGCCCGTCGCTTTGCGTGCAACACACCTGCCCCCTGTATAATGGAGACCGGGGAGTGTCAGCTAAATCGGAACGCAAGCGGGAGAGCATGAATACTCACGTTACGTATTCAAAACGGATGCAACGACCGGTATTAGGATACAAGGTAGCCTATAACAAGGACGGAAAGCGTGTGCGTGAGGATCAAGATTCGGAACACAGCTCATGTCCGCTGAGAGATTGTCTCGACGTACCCTGACTGGCGTCGTGAGCAAGTCCTTGAAGTTTTTGGCGGTCAGCTGACCTCGCGGTGCGCGGTTGAAGCGAGTCGTAAAGACGGGAGAAAGGACACCGAGGGAGCCGCTCTGCGTGAAGGCGACCGCAAAAGGTAAATGCCAGCTAAGACAGATTCACCAGCAAAGTCACACACTTACAGGGTTGTTCAAGCCAACAAAATTCTGGAAGAAATATTGTCCCGATCCAAGATCGTTGTATGCCTAGTCGGAGGAAATAATTACTTTCGATCAGCTTCACTTGGAGGCGAATATAGGCCACACATCGTGCCATCTCGCCTTATGCTCTGGTTCAAAGTAGCCCAATTTCAAGGTAGCACCGTAGAGACTTCCAACCAGACGTGGGATGAGCTGGCTCTGCCAAGACTGGTAAGACATGATGAAAGGTGTTCTGCCATCGTTTGCCGCATCGACGAAAGGAATATCTGGCCATTGAGTGCAGAAGCGGGTTAGTGTGAAAGGTCGCTTCGTGTGAGCATCGACTGCCGACGCACAGAAGTAGGAGCCTTGGAGCTCGTTCACCCTGAGCTCAAGACCCATTCTTTGACGAATGTCTGCAGTCGTGAAGAGGGAGCCGCTCGTCGTCAGCGCGTCTTCGATCATCGGCGAGATCTCCTCAAGAAACTCACCCGTCAAGTATTGGGCCAGGACGATGAAAGGGTGCTCGTCCGGAGCAAGGAAACCCTCCGGCAAACCGGTAGGCGTCAGAAGCTTATACTTGCCTGCTAGCTGTTGAGCAAAGGTACGCTTGATGGGGATGACCTGTGGCAGCCGAATGCATCGGACGCGCGAGTGAATGTCAGCATGGCTGCTTCCCGAAGGTCTCGAAGTCTGTGCGCACATGCATAGTCAGGTTGGTGCCCGCAGTCTGGAGAGCCTCGTTGCCTTGGTAGATCTGTAGGTGACGGGACTCAAGTCAGTCGACCAGGTGGGGAGAGTACCTTGCAAGATTACTGGGCAGACTGACCTCGTTGGGCGCTTGACGCTCCACGAGCGCACGCGCGCCAAGCCCGCTGACATCCGCAGTCAGAAGACTGTCGCTGACGTAGGACGTTGTCTGCTTGCACTCGGGTCGGTCAGTAGCTCGATCCTCGTGGTTCTCGAATCAGAGCAAAGCAGCGCTCACCAGATTGTTTGCATGAAGCTCAAGCTCGACCAGCGGCGACGGTCTGCCAAGGGCAATGGTCACCGAAACAGCGGCCAGCGTGAGAACGGAGAAGAAGTTTTTGACGAACATGTTTTCAAGTGCGAAGTAAGCTGGATGGATTTAGCCGTGGGGGAAAGGAAGAGGATGTGAGGAGAGAGGAGGACGAACGACGAAACGGTGCTCTAGCCGGCTACTTTATACGTTCGGCTAGGACTCCTAGCTATCTCCTTTGCGTTCAACTCGGATCCTAGGCTGACTACATTCATGACCCATCAGCTGCTTGCCGTAGCTGCTTGGATATTGCGGATTCACGGTCGTGCAGGAGAAACAGAGCAAGATCCACAGATGTTTTGCTTACGCAGCGCTCGATCGGGCC